CCCCGGCGCCACCCGCCGGGCCGAGGGCGTGGCATGGCTCTCAGGCAATCCCGGTGGCCGTGGCCATGGGGGCGGGAGGCACGGGCCGGCGGGGCCTTCAGGGGAGCTTGGTTTACAACAGGGAATAGGTTTACACAAAGCGTTGTCCACGGGCCTGGACTACTCCCCGCCCAGCGCTCCCAGGTCTGTCCCCGCGGCCACCACGCTGCCCACGGCATACCCTCCCCCGCCGTCAGGGACGCCGGTGTCCCCCGTGCAGTACACACACCTGCCCCACACCTTCCAGTTCATCGGGTCCCCCCAGTACAGCGGGCCCTACGCCGGCTTCCTCCCCTCCCAGCTCATCTCCCCGACTGCCAACCCTGTCACCAGTGCAGTGGCCTCGGCCGCGGGGGCCACCACGCCGTCCCAGCGCTCCCAGCTGGAGGCCTATTCCACTCTGCTGGCCGGCATGGGCAGCCTGAGCCAGGCTCCGGGCCACAAGGGTGAGCAGCCACCGCCCCACCTTGGCAGGGCGCCAGGCCTCATCGCGCCAGGGTCCCCCCCACCCACGCCCCAGAGCCACTACGTGCACATCTCCGGCTCGCCCCAGAGCAGCGGGCACGCGGCCTCCCCGCCGGCCGTCCACCTCCACCCCCATCAGACGATGATCCCGCACACGCTCACCCTGGGGCCCTCCTCCCAGGTCGTCGTGCAGTACTCCGACTCCGGCGGCCACTTCCTCCCCCGGGAGGCCACCAAGAAAGCCGAGGGCGGCAGGCTGCAGCAGGCCGTGCAGGCCAAGGAGGTCCTGAACGGGGAGATGGAGAAGAGCCGGCGCTACGGGGCTCCCTCCTCGGCGGACCTGGGCCTGAGCAAGGCCGGCAGCAAGGCGCCGCACCCCTACGAGTCCAGGCACGTGGTGGTCCACCCCATGGACTACAGCGGCCGCGACCCGCCGGGGGTCCGGGCCTCCGTGATGGTCCTGCCCAACAGCAGCACGCCCGCAGCCGACCTGGACGTGCAGCAGGCCACGCACCGGGACGCCTCCCCCTCCGCCCTCAACGACAAGAGCGGCCTGCCCCTCGGGAAGCCCGGCCACCGGTCCTACGCGCTGTCACCCCACACGGTCATTCAGACCACCCACAGTGCTTCGGAGCCGCTCCCGGTGGGACTGCCCGCCACGGCCTTCTACACGGGGACGCAGCCCTCTGTCATCGAATACCTGAGCGGCCAGCAGCAGGCCATCACCTACGCGGGAGGCCTGCCCCCGCACCTGGTGATCCCCGGCACCCAGCCCCTGCTCATCCCGGTGGGCGGCGCTGACATGGACGCGGCAGGGGCAGCCTCGGCCTTGGTCACGTCGTCCCCCCAGTTCGCTGCAGTGCCTCACACGTTCGTCACCACCGCCCTTCCCAAGAGCGAGAACTTCAACCCCGAGGCCCTGGTCTCCCCGGCTGCCTACCCGGCCATGGTGCAGGCTCAGATCCACCTGCCCGTGGCGCAGTCCGTGGCGGCCCCTGCGGCGGCGCCCCCCACGCTGCCTCCCTACTTCATGAAAGGCTCCATCATCCAGCTGGCCAACGGGGAGCTGAAGAAGGTGGAGGACCTGAAAACGGAGGACTTCATCCAGAGCGCGGAGATCAGCAACGACCTGAAGATCGACTCGAGCACGGTGGAGAGGATCGAGGAGGGCCCCAGCCCGGGCGTCGCGGTGATTCAGTTCGCCGTCGGGGAGCACCGAGCACAGGTAAGCTGCCTCCGGGTCACGCAGGTGGGGCGCCCTGCGTCGGTGCCTGCGTCATCTCCCGCAGAGAGGAGCTGCCCCTGGGAGGCCGGAGCAGGGCTCTCCACCTGCCCTGCCCGTTCTCCCGGGAGGTCCCTCCTACTCCCTGCAGCATCTGTGGCTGGTTCGAGTGAACCCCTGCCATCTGGAGCTTGTGCCCTGAGTGGGCTGGATGACAACTCATCCCTGTGGTGACTTTCCGTGTAGCACGGTTGGGGTGAGGACTCTGATTGAGAGAGGCTGCTGGGCTCCAGGCCCTTCCAGGGGTCACTCTGCCCTTTTCCTCATCAGGAACAGATGCATCCAGGCAGGCAGGACATTCTGAAACCACCACGTCCCATGTCAGCATCTCTGTTAAAATACAAATTCAGTGAGCCGGCCAATGGCATGGTGGTTAAGGTGGCTGGATCCCACATGGCCGACTGTATGATTCGAATCCCAGACCTTGTGGCTTGGAACACATGCCAGGCATGTGTGCATGCCCCAAACCCCAAGAGGTGAATGGAGGAGAAGGGCCTGCTGCGTGGCTGTCCCTCCTGGGGGTGGGGTTCTCACTTTCCCTCCCTCTGTCTTCTCTCTATCTCTGTCTGGTAAGTGCATATGCTCTACTGAAAATTTTTTGAAAACACAAGTTCTGATATTATTTAGGTATGGCAAGGCCAACAGATTAGAAGTAGTTTGTTAGGGCCCGCTGCAGCACGGCAGTTAAGCACTATGTAGAGTAAGCTGGGTCCCACATTGCTGACCCCAGTTCGAGTCCCAGCCCCTGTGGCATACATGGTAGACAGATGCATGTGTGTCCAGGATCCTGACAGGAGGGAGAATGAGAGGGAAAAGGATTGCCACGTGACCAGGCCCTGTTGGCAGGGAGAAGTCACCTTCTCTCACACATGCATACATGCACCAAAAGAAAAAAAAAAAGAAAAAACAGAAAAATAATTAGCAGTTCCCAGATGAGAAATGGTGATGTGCATCTTAAAAACAAAAGAAAAAATAGTTTGTTATACCCTCTAATCCCAGGAGAGGGGATACCCCATGCCTGCTGTGAGGGGTCCCTGCAGGGAAGCACCGGGTTGGTCAGGAGCCTGGTGGGGGCGGAGGGTAGCAAAGAAAATGTGGCAAGAGCCTTCAGTGTGGTTTCCTTGAGGAGCGGGGCAGGAGGGTGAGCGGGTGCAGGACTGGCCGGTTGACAGTGGACTGTGGCATGCACAGTCGAGGTGTCTGGTCGCCAGCCCTGCAGTGATGAGCAAGCTCATCTCGCCTGAGTGCAGTAGACCAATACAGGAGACGGATGGTCAGTTGCATGGGAGAACCAGTGCAGGGAAGGGAGTGTCATTTGCTGTCTCTAGGAACCAGCTAATCCCAGAAGAGGTGGTCCCTCCAGGATCAGCAAGGCCTGCAACATCAATTAGAGTCAGAAAAGTCCGAAGATGAAAGGCACAGAGCACAATCCAAGCAGGCTGGCGGTTCCAGGCCACCTCCTGGGCTCATGGGAGGGCCAGATACAGTCAAGCTGAGTCATGTTCCCAGCTGGCAGTGCAACTCACGCTGTGTCCACGGGCTCCTGGCTAGTGTCTTAAACATGGATGCGTGTTTATCCCACATCCTGTCCCCATTAAGCAGCCATGGCATTGGCCACAGAGCTGACGTCTGGGGCGTTCTAGGGAAATGCAACGAGCCAAAAAGAGCCTAGTTAATGGTTTGAATTGCTCCAAGCTGTTAATGAAAGATCTAGGGGAGAAGGAAGGGCCAGTTGTCCACATGTTTTCCAGCCCTGCTCATGAACGATTAGACGCAGGAACCTCGCCCAGCGTCAGGGAGTCTGCATCACCGCACGCTCAGCCCAGACACCTCCCTTTCTCCTGGTCAAACACCCGCCCAAGCCTATCATCTTTGATAAGGCCCAAGAAAGCTTTTTACAAATGTTCTAACTAAAGAAAAAAAGAAGAGCAAAAATTAGGATTTGGGGACAGGGGGGCAGCAGGTGGCATGGTGGTTAAGGCACTGGACTTCCACGTGGCCAACTGCAGTTTGAGTCCTGGATCAAGTGACTTGAAACTCATACACAGGTGTGTTTGTGTGCCCAAAACACCAACAGGAGAGTGGAAGAGAAGGGATTGTGGTGTGGCCATCCCTCCTCGGGGTGATTTCTCACCTTCCCTCTCACCGTCTCTGTCTTCCTCCAGTGAGCAGCTCCTCTGGCAAAAACCTTTAAAAATAAAATCAAGATTTTGGGGAAGATGGCATTAATTATTTATAACTCACTATTTCTCTGTCATTGCTGCTCACTTCCTACCTGAGATAGAGGTGGGGACATTCAAAAGAAAAGGGGTCATCTTGAGCAAATTGGAGTCTTAACAAACTCCATGTGAAGCATGAAAAACGGTCAAGAGTGAGAAAGAAGTGTGTTTTCTTGGCTTAGTCCTCAAAACATTACTGCGAGCAGAGGAGGGCGTGGAAAGGGTTTTGTTTCCATACTGGTTTCTTACCAGCATGGCTTTCGGTGGAGAATAGGGACAGCCATGTCAGGGGCCAGCAGGTGGCGTGGTGGTTGAGGCGCTGGACTCCCACATGGCTGACCATGGTTTGAGTCCCGGACCTGACGGCTTGCTTTCTCACTTTCTCTCTCTCTCTCTGATCAGATTAAAAAATAATAATAAAGAAAGAAAATTTGGGGGGGGGGTGAAGAACAGCCATGCCAACTGTGGGTTGCACTCCAAGGCCTAGGCCTCTTCAGTTCTGAGAGAGGAAGAATCCAGGTGCGTGTTCCCTGTGCTCAGAACTCTGCAGAATGCACCCTGATATGGTGGTGAGAACGGCTTCCCTGTGAAGTCAGACTCCTGCTCTTCCTCCTACTTCTCTTCCGCAGTCGGATCTCCAGGTCCGTGGACAGCCCAGGCACACAAGAGCACCTGCAGTGTTTGTCAGTCCAGTTCACAGATCTGCAGGGGCTCCAGCTCCCACACTGCCTGCTTGGGAGGAGCCACAGCAGAGACTGGCAAGAGGCCGCAGTCTGCTGAAAGGTGGCTTGGGTTTCATGCCCTAGAAACACGTACAAGGCCCTGAGGCAGCCAATGATTTGTCACCTACCCAGGGAGCCTATCAGAAACTGGCTGACATCATCCTCGCTCAGATACTCCACCAGCTGTTTGCCACAAGTGATGAGATCTGAATCTCTGAATCGGAGTGGAGTCAGAGCAAGCAGGGGAGGGCCAGGGAGGAAACAGGACAGTGGGTATCTGCACTTCGCTGATCCAGGGCCTCCCTCTGGCTCTCTCCCTCCCCCTCTCTCCCTCTGTCTCCCTGAGGAATTTCTCCCCTGGTCTGAAGAACCATCTAGGTCTTTTCTGCTGGTTACAGGCATGCTCACACTTGCACCTACAGAGAGACTCAGGAATGTGTGAATTGTTGAACTTAATTAGCAAAATCTCCAAGTTGTGATTTGGGGCCATGGTGGGGAAAAAAGGATGATTTTCTGCATGAGGAAGGCTTGCGGCACTCCACGTGTAAATCCTAAATGAGTAGGAAGCCAGGGTGCCTGAGCTCAGAGAACCTCCCAAGGGCATTGCCCGGAAAGCAGTGTGGCTTGCTACAGGGAGAGCTGAGGCCGCCTTCTGGTCCAGGAGCAGTCCAGACTTGCCACCTTACTGAGCTGCAGTTTCTTCCCTGAAACAGGCAGTGATTCCTTATGCAAGGTGGTCTCTGGGGCCTCCTTGTTTTATTAATCCTTTTCTTTTCTTCAGAATAGTCTTTGAAAAAGCATTGGCCAATCAACAACTAGGAACCTTAAGGGGCCCCTTTGCTGGCCTCCTGCTAATCAGGATGCAGACCCAGTAGGAACTAAAGCCATTCCTAAAAAAACCTAAGTGTTGTTTTTGTTTGGGTGATTACTTCTAAGGAGCCGGATTCTTAATCACTACTGTGGAAAGGTGCCACCTGTCTAAGCTTTCTCTGACACTTGGAGAAGCCAGTGTGGGAGAGGCTTTCCCATATTTGTCATCACCCCTGTGGCTTTGCCATACCAGGGAGGGGAGGCATTTCACATCCCAGTGCTTGGGGGAAGCCAGGGAATTCCAGGTTTCCTGCTCTGCTCTGCAGGCAGCCCCCCTGGCCTAATGGCAGGAGGCAGGTGGACGGTCAGCCCCAGATCAGGAGTCACTGCTTCTGCCAAGCCTCAACTCTGGGCAGGAGACCCAAAGGAGGACAGAACTGATTTCCATGGGCCACTTCCCAAAAAAAGTGCTTGGTTTTCTCGAGTGTGAGGGCCTCAAGCCTGGAGAGTCCCCAAGGAGACTCTCAGAAAATAGCATGAATGTGGGAGCCACTGCAACTCAAAAGATGGAGGGGGCGCACACCGGCGTGTTCCGGGGTAGGAGGACGGACGTGGGACCGGGCACCCAAAAGACCTTAGTCTGACCCTCCTCTGCCACTCCGTAGCACTGGGCCTTGCACAATGGTACATTCTATCCCTGCTTCAGCTTTGGAGACTTGGGCTCTCAGGAGAGAGAGATGGGCCAGCAGGTGGCGTGGTGGATAAGGCACTAGACTTTCACGTGCCTGACCACAGTTCAAGTTCTGGACCTGGCAGCTTGCTTTCTCACTTTCCCTTTCTCTCTCTCTCTCCGGTGGAATTTTTAAAAATAATAACAAAATTAAATAATTCTTTAAAAAATAAGATGAGAGAGACAGGTTCACTTCTGAAAAATTAAGGACAAGGCATTCTGCCCTAGGAAGAGTTTATGGGTGGAGAGACAGCCTTTGAACACCTAGAAGGATGCCTGAGCTTTTCCAAGGAGCCCAAGAGGACGTTTGAACCCTGCCTGCGTTTCCACAGCATGGCCCCTGGAGGGAGCATTGTGCCTGCTCTTTCTTAAGCCCCATGGCCTTATGCTAGCCTGGGTGAGAAGGCTTGGTCCTTTTTTCTGAGCAAGAGCTGAGTTTCAGGGAAGCTTTGGGTCCCAGCC